ATATTTGATGGATAATTTATATTAACAAACTAAAATCTATTACTAATCTATCTACTTGGGAAGTGTTTATGAAGTTCAATTAATTGATAAGCACCAGAACACCGAATCCCCTATATTCATCTATTCTAACACCAATCCAAGACTTAGATAACACTTATTCAAATTTGAAAATTAATGTTCTTAATTTGTTTAATAATCTCTCTTAAATGGAATTAGACTTATTCTGCACATTTGACCCGTATATATCTATACGAAGGATACAAATATATAAAAATATTTTAAATCAAAAAATATAAAAATAAAGCATTCAAAAGAATCATGTAACACAAATCCATATATCTCTATTCCATATTGAACTTTACAATGATTGTTCCTATGTGTTATAATTCCAATTTCTATTAGTTCTCTCCAAATGTAAATAAAAATCACAAGTTAGTTCAATTAATGACCAACTAATTGAAAAGCATGAAAAACGCAACAACTATTCAAATCAAAACAAATATTTAATGTCAACTATAAATTGATATCATCACATCAAAAATATATAAGTTTCGACGTTATCCTAATACCTATACAATTATCTTAGCATCATATGATTACATAAACACAAATTGAATAGATAAACATCACCCAATATTTAAGTTTGGGACGAATATGAAACTAAATTTTGAAATCCTTGAATTTCTTCAATGGTTCTTTGATCGACCTCCTTGAATCTCTTTCTTCTTCAACCCAGGCAATTGATATATTTATGTATGGAAGAATGAGGTTTTGTATCAAAAGCTTCTTTAAAGGTTGTAAAGAATGTATCCTTTCTATCAAAGGCTTCCTCCTAGAACTCTCTTCTTTGTAAGTAATATGTACATTTTTGCCCAAGAGCCTTCTCTAGGATATGACTATTGTATCCAGAGACAGATTGAAGGGAGGGCACTACTGGGCTGTGGCCCAGTAATGCCCAAACCCATGTCCAGTAAAAGTCTCAAAAAAATGTTGAAATATTTTAATTTTAGTCTATTAGTCCACCAACCATTAACCAACCCACCACAATTTGTAAAATTAATTTCTTATTTTATACTTGGCCCAAAGATTTGTTTTAGTATCCAACAGTCCATTACCCAATTACACAACAAATATCCTCTTCATTTCTTCCACCATTCTCGTCACTCAGTTGCAAAATTTGAAAAACAAAATTCTCAAATCTTTGAAAAACCCTAATGCCTAATTTGTCTATTATTTTTCCTAGTTACCATCTCACCGGAGAGCCGTCGATCACAAACAAGGAAGTACCTATGAAGAAGAGTTTCAGTTCGGCCAGCAGCTACTTACTCCGAACCACATTTTCAGCTAGCAACTCGTTTTCTTCAATTATTAGTTAGTGCGTCCTTTTTTAATACTTATATCAAAATAACTTCTTCTTCTTTTTTATTCATTGAGTTTCTCAAACCTTAAGGGTTAAATTATAAATTTATAACATATTCTGATGTTCTAATTTTTTACTGTGTAATGTGTTTGATGATTTTTAAATTATGTTATGTTTATGGTTTTATACATTATATTTATGATTTTTTATTGTTCCAAACTTTTAGTTTTTAATGAATTTTCTGTTTAAATTTGTTTACAGGCATTTGATTAGTTTGTTTTTAAAGTATCAAAACAAGCTTAACAATTCATCTAATTACCTGTTCACGGCAACAAACTATGTAAGCACCAAGTACGTATTTTGTACATTAAGTTTCTAAATTTTTGTCCTCCGTCACTTAAGTTCCTGACTCCGTCCTTGATTGTATTCTTAGAACTCCTTAGTGAATGAATGATGAAGATATCTATTTATAACCCTAAAGATTATGTCAAGAGCATGCGCCCTGATTGCTTCCCAAGTAGAGATTTAATCAAACTAGAAAATAATTTGGCATGTTAGACAACACCATAGGATCGTATATTATAAATCGTTACGATCACATAGCAGGAGCCTTTCAATCACAGGGTTCCCTATTTTTCTCTCTCGTGTTCGTCCTTGAATTTTCTTTTTAGTTAAACTTAGACCTTACTTATTTGAACCAGTGGTTCTTTATCTTCAAATCTTTATACAACGCTCTTCATCCTCCCACAATCATCTATAACTGATTTCTGACAAGTTTTAAAAGTTTTCAATTTAGTTCTCAAACTTTTCGGAAGGTTAGATTTAGTTCTCGAAACTTGTTAATTACTTTCGATTGCTCTCTCAATTTTTCTAATTGATCACATGCAATCCAGATAAATTTCCATTGCCATGAATTAACTCTAATTAAGCTCAAAAGTAGGTTTTCCCATGCCAATTGTACCCAAGTTGGAGATTTTCTCATAATTAATACATTTATACCAAATTAGATAGATATCCACTCAATTAATCACAATTCAACAAGTTTAAATGCCCCATACAAGTATATAAAATAATTTATCACCAACAAAAGGTTCTGCTTCATGAATCCATCAATACATTTTTTTTAATATTAATTCCATTAAACTGGCACAACAACTAATTGCTGGTGCAATATCTCCAAGAAAACAAGCTAAAGGAGTAGATGAAAAAGTTGGATATTGCAAAATCTTGAACTATGACAAATCTGACTCCAAGGCACGTTGACACTTTCCTTAAAACATTATTTTCCCTCACCATTTTTTGATACGCTCGGAAACACATATGTCTCTAAGATACTATGAAACCTAATGTTTGTATTGTGCATCCACTATGACAACTCAAACACCAAAAATTTATAGATATCCGAACTCAAGATCTATACTTTTTCTTTCAAGAATGATAAAATATATATAAAAAATATTTTTGATAAGAGAAATGATGAAAATGATGTTTAGGTTACAAAATAATGCCAAAATCTGACTTTTGAGACCTATCCCTCGAGGCCAACAACATTTCAAGTAGTCGATATCAAGCATCCCTACTGTGGCAGTCTAGATAGAAACAAGCATAACTTTTTATTAACCATGTGTTTGGCCCCCATTTTATTTATTTTTTTTCAAATTTTCCTCCAAAACTCATTCTGCTACAATAGATGCTGACATCATGCAGTGAAACTTCAGAAGAAATGTCAGGGGCATTATACCGTTGAAAATTGATGGACAATTTCAGCCCCAAAAATAATTACGTAATTTACATTTTTTCCCTCCCTTCTTGAAATTCACTTGCCGCCAATTGAAGGGCAAATTTGGCAAGGAAGTAATTCCAAATACATCTTACAACTTTTGTCTAAAAACTTGTCTCTTTTGTCTACCCTATGGCCCACACCCGTTGAAAAATGTGGTGAAAAATGAGAATAGAATGGGAATCAAACAGGCGCTAAAAACTCCAAATTGACCATAGAATGATCTAGCTCTATAAACTTTCTGATGACATTGTGGCACCCTCGCAGTCGACGATGTGAGCGATCTATTCGATCAATGTGAGCAATCTAGTCACCACTTCAGATTTTTTAGAGTAGTTTTCGAGTCGATCTGGCCGGTCAAAGTTTTTGTTGACGGTTGCAAATGGTGATAGTGGTGATATATGTGGTGGTGGAGCTGCTGGTGGTGATGATGAGGTGATGGTGGCGGCGATGTAGGTCTGGCAACTATTTTTGTGTGGTGTTGTAAGTGGATATGTTGACAGTGGTGGTGGCGATCGATGGTAGTGCTAGCGGTTAGTGATGATAATGGTGATGGCGCCAGTGGTGGTGTTGGCGATTGTTGCATGGTGAGAGTTGTCACAATTGGCAATGGCGATGGCGGTGGCGGTAGTGTTGGTATCATAGTGTGTGACACGCTACCTGGTGTATGTGACCAATTATTTGATTATCTGTATCAAGTATTAAATCGTGACCTTAAATTAAAATTTGATAACTTGAAATATAATTTGTGACCAACAGATTTGAAAATCTGTGACCGAGAGATAAACTATGATCTATAAATTTTTTGATTTGTGACCTCTAAATAATCCATGACTAATTCGTTTGATAATATGTAACCCATAAATAAATTGTGACCTATAATTATGAATCGACGACCATTAATTATATAACTGTAACTTTATTATATTTATTTAATAAATTTTCACACACTTGAAGTTTGAATTGACTTTTGAGTTAGTACAAACTTTACACTTGAGTTTTGATTTTTTACCCTTTTAAAATACCCATACTTATTGGATAGTTTTGTATATTGAAATAAGCGGACTGACCACTCAATTTAGTTGTCAACAAAAAAGCGAGATGAGCTTTACATTCGTAGTTCGGGAGCATCATGAAAAAAAAAAAAAAAAAGAAGAAGAAAAAGTGATTTTGATTTATTATATGTCCATACTGAATATTAAGTTGACAAAATATTATTTCTTTATTATATTAAATTTATAAAAATAAATATTTTAATTAAGTCCATATTTGAGCCACATTCTAGAAAAAAATACATTATTCATTTCAAATTAATAGGAAATGTGTTGTTAAAAAATAAGAAAAAATTTTAAATTTACTTGTAATATTATTTTATTGAAAAATGTGTGGTTGAAATTATGTTAAATCACTATATGTACTTTTTTGAAAATAATGTGGCTTAAACAGAGGCTAAATTGTCTTAGCACAGTTCTTTAGTATAAATCATATTATTTGAAATTTATTCGCTTGAGATGGTAAAATATGACACATTATATTAACTACCACATGAATATAAAATACCATCACATCTTGCATCACAATTTCATTTCTAAAATATCACGTCGAGTGTATAAAAGTAGAGATTCTCCATTAGTAAAGAGCCTCCTGGAGTAAATGCATTTTATAAAAATGAATTATTTTTTATAATTATTAATTACTGAGTTCGCTCTAGATCCCCAAATCCATAAACTACGATTTTATTTTTTATTTTTCATTTTTATTTTTTCAAATCGCAGACCATCCCGGATCATCAACTAAAAATGTACCTCAAAGCGGCCAAAAAGACACGGATACCACTAGCTGAAAATATGCTAAGTCGAATGAGCCAAAGTGCCTAATTGGCAAAATTTCATGATTTGCCGATGCTTTCCTGCAGCCAAGTACAAACTGAAAATGTAGTTATAGATACTAATGTTTTACATAATTGCTTTTCTTTGGCAATGCCCAGTTTGTTCAAAGGGAAGCACGCGGATATTGTTCCAGAGACATAGCTGAGAGGATTCTAACAAGAGTAGACATCAAACTCAAAGCAACATTCAGCACTTCCTGTGAACAACCTGGACTTGCAATCTTTTTCACCTAAAAAAAGACAATTCCACATTGAACTGAGATCCTATTCCAGGACCATATCCCAGAAACTTTACAGCTAGCAACTAGAAAATCATTCATGTATGTATATGTAAACTATTCATATTAATCTCAGCCAACAAGCAAAGAAGGACTTGTTTAAAGACTGCGGTTGAACAGAACTTTAAATTTTAGATATGGTGGCAACAGGACTACTATTCCATGATTAAAATAGCAACAAGAGTCCAGCATATTTGCATGAACGACAGATTTTCAAATGCAAGTTTCACAATTTCTTTTAGGTGCAACCTATATACGTTATCACACATACATCACCAAAAACATAATCCACACATCAAAAGCCACAAATCTAAAATCGCACGCATTTCCATGAGATGATCCCTTGGAAACTGTGATAGGAAATTGAGGCTTGTACTTTCTAGGACTATAGAAGACAACAACTAACGAAAGGTCTACACTAGGGTATTGTACCTTCATAAGAAGCAACCTAGTGATCTAAAGAAGAAATAACTTGTGGTTGTGAGGTCAAGTGTTGAGGTTGAATTCCAAGCTATGGCCTTAGGTATCTGTGAACTAATGAAGATCAAATCCATACTGAAGGAATTGAAAGTAGAAGTTAAAAAACATATGAGGCTGTGTTGTAACAACAGAGCATCGGTAAGCAACTAAGCATCATTCATAATCCTTTTCAACATGACCAGATTAAGCACATTGAAGATGAACATATTTCATCTGAAAGAAGATTCATAGAAAACTACTTTGCACTCTTTTTATCTCATCTCAATTGCAGTTCGCAGACATGTTCACTAAAGTGGTCTCTAATCCACGTTTAAACACTGCAATATGTTAACTGAGAGTAGAGAAAGTCTTCAAACCATCTTGATGCAGAAGTGAGAGATTTACAAATTTTGTAAATTTCACGATCAGATTTGATTTACTGAAAACTATTTAGTGCTTGTTTGGATAAAATTATGTCCTCATTTTGATTTTGATTTTTTTTCAAAATCATTTTTCTTTAAACTTATTTGAAACCACACATTCTCCTATTCAAATTATTTTGCATGTGGACCCATTATTTTCCATACTTTTTAACCAACATTCTCCAAAAAATATCACTTTTTTAAACATCTTTTTCCAAAAAAATCAAAATCAAAGTCAAGCTTGGGCTATAAGTTGCTAAAATTTATAATGTGATGGAATCAGTAACGGATGAGCGGGTAGAAGTTGTGAATCTTACGAAATGTGTGGTTGAAATTAGTTTTTGACATTGACCATTGAATTATAAGGAAATTATAATGTTTCCCAAACAGCAATTAGTTGAACTGTTCTCAGTATATATTAGGTATAATCATTTGGTATCAATGTTAGGCAGTAGAATTAGTTGACTTTTAAAAAAATCAGGACAGTAAAATTTTTAGAAATTAATTTTCAGACCACTTGTACCATTCTGGGTAGTTGATGGTGAATTTTTTCCAGACTGGCTAGTTGACAACTCCACCACACACCCTCTGAATGGCATCAACATCTATTTTATGCATCAAGCATGCCACTTCCATCAAAAAAGAGAAAAATATTAACAAAACAATCAGCCCAAAATCTCGTAAACAGGCCAAATAGTTGTCAACTTATGATAGGTAAAAGTTCGTCAATCATGGCAAAACAATATGCTAACCGGGTAAGGTGAAAAGGCAGGGGAACAAGGAAAACTTCAGAAATACCATACCGAGTCAAGAAAACACTGCAATTTCTTAATCTTTTCAGCATAGTCCAGGTCATGAAAGCTCAAATATGATTTCCTGTGACGGAGCATATTGCTCAAGCATATATCATCTTTCATAAGTTTCTCATCCTCTGTACAGAGCATGCTGTCATCAAACACAAAGAAAAAAGGTCATGCAGTAATAAAACACTAAGATGCTTCCACTGTATCGGCATAAAGGCAACAAGCAATATCTGCTTCAATCATTACCAGATTCCCTTTCTTCAACCATTAACAGATTCTGCTGAAGATAATTGAGCTCATGTCTTTCTAATGTTTATAATTGATCAACCCATTTTTATCCACAGATTTCGTGAGATCTAAAAGTACTATCCACTTATCATTCATTCTATCCGTTTATAAAGTCTTCCCATGCTGAGATGATTAAGTACTATTACCAGTTCTTGTTTAGTAATATTAGGAAAAAAATTTGTTTACTTTGTCCAAGGGTTCCTTAGATGAGTATTAGATAGGCATTTATTAAGCTAAATAAATTTGTCCAGAGCTTCAGAAATCAAAGGAAAACAATATGGAGTTTATCTGCCATAAATACTCTCTAGAAGATGCAGTCTGTGAGATATTGTATAAACTGCGTCTCATCTAGACTCTTCAATGCCCTCCCTCTCTCGCAGCGTCAGCATTTATTCCTTTTCAAAGTCTTTTTAGAAAACTTCATGCTTGACAAACTTTATACCACAGTTCCACCTCCAGAGTTTATTCAATTCACCCCGACCACATCTTCTCATTCTCTTCACAGCTGACCATGTTATACATTCAATCTGACAATCTGACAGAAAATTTGCTTTCCTATTCCTGAAAAGCTGAATTGAGATTTCAGACAACTCAACTAGCACGAAGAAGAAGAGTTTTTTTTTTTTTTTTTTTTTTTT